CAGGAGGTCATCTAGTGCAGGGGCATGGTCCTGCTCAAAGCAGGGCCATCCCCAAATAGTTCATCCCAGCCAAAGCTTTGTCTAACTGAGTTTTGAAAACCACCAAAGCTGGAGCTTCCACCTCCTCTCTGGGTAACCTGTTCCAAGTGTTTTACTAATATCTGATATCTGATGCCATGCAGAAGAGAGAGCTTAAAGATGATGCAGCAGGTGCAGTGGCCCCTGGAAGTATTGGCAATGAAGTCAGGAAGCAGAGAAAATGAAGGAGCAGAAGTTCAGCACATTCAGTCACATGTGCAGATAGCAGTTTTTTTCCCCCCTGTAGCTTGTAATTTGGCAAAACTGGATACATTTTCAGTGGAGATATTAGGAGGCACCTTGTCTGGGTATTATAAACTAGAGGTCACTGGTTTGATAGCTGCAGCTTCCAGGTAGCCAGTCTCTTATTAACTAAATGGATTAATTCAACCTCTAAATGTTCAATAAAGTTACAAATAAGTGAAAACAGGACATTATAATGGAACAGGTAGCCACTTGCATACATAAGGTGGGGAATTGAGGCCCCCATAGTGAGGGAGTTGGGCAGGGCTGGGGCTGCTGCCCAGCTGAGGTGGTGCATGGGGCTTGGGGCCCAGGGCTGGAATATGTGGCTGCAAGGCCTGGGTGGGGAGTGGGATGGAACTGCAGGAAACTCCTCCAGGGGACAGCAGGGTAGTGAAGGGGCTGGGTCTCTGCCACTGCATGCAGTCCTGGAGGGGTATGTGCCCTCCAGATTTGTGCGAGGCAGGGGCGGGGTGGTGGATGCGGGCTTCGGCTCCCCAGCCTACTGCTCTACCCCTGGTGCCTCAGCGGCACAGTAGGACAGAGCAGGACGGAAGCTCGATGCCATTGCTATGAGCCCTGTGCCATCATGGTGAAGCACCCCCTGCCTACCCAGCAGCAGTGGAAGGCACAACCCCACACCACCACCCCCACTGCTGCCAGATGGGCAGGGGGCGCATCACTATGGTGCTTGGCTTACAGTGGAGCATTAAGTTTGTAACCCCCACTCTGTCCTGCCATGCCAGATCCTGCCTGCTGGGCCACAGAGGCCCCGTAGGGAGGGCAGCAGGGCGGGGAGCCTGATCCCACAATGGCCAACCCACGCCCATAGCCGCACACCTCCCCGATGGGATCCACTCCGGCCATGCTGCCCACAGGGGAGGGGAAGCCAGGCTTTGTGCTCTGTTCTGGTGCAGCAGCAGCTGCCTCCGCTTCCCATGGGCAGCACCCAGCGGGTACTGATGGGGGGCAGAGGGCTGCTGACCCTCTGCCCCCCATATCCCTGACCCCATAGCCTTGGCATTTGGGGGTCCCCTCCATCAGGGCTGGGGGAGTGAGGGGTATCAACAGGAACAGGAGGCTGTGGTTGGTGAGCAAAGGGGACCAGCAGGGGTGGGGAGTGAAAGATTGTTTGGTTTTTAATCAGAGAATTTGCAATTTTTTTACATCAGAGAATTGTGCGATTTTTAAACAGAGAAAACTATGATCGCCGCTTACTGTGTCCCCCATCAAGCATCTCATATTTAACTGAATAAGCCCTAGCTTCTTTAGTTTCTCCTCATATGGAAGCCCCTCCATACCGCTAATCATCCTTGTTGCCCTTCTCTCTACCTTCTCTTGTTCTTCTATATCCTTTTTTAGGTGTGGGGATCAGAACTGGGCACAATATTCAAGGTGTAGGTGCACTGTGGATTTATAAAGAGGCATAATGATACTTCATGTTGTTTACAATTCCCTTTTTAATAATTTCTAACATTTTATTTGCCTTTTTGTTGGCTGCTGAGCACTGAGCCAATGTTTTTAGTGACCTGTCCTCAACAACTAACAGCTAATGTAGAGCCCATCCTAGTTTAGGTATAGTTTGGGTTATTTTTGCCCAGGTGCATCACTTCATGCTTATCTACATTGAATTGCATCTTCCATTTAGTTGCCTATCCTCTCAATCATGCCAGATCCTATTGTAGTTCCTCACAGTCCACCTTTGTCTTTAACACTTCGAATAATTTTGTAGCTGAAAATTTGGCTGCTTTGCTACCCACCCCCTTTTCCAGACATTTATGAATATATTAAATGGCACTGGTCTCAACACAGATCCCTGGGGGACCCTGCTTTTTATTTAATTCCATCCTGAAACTTGACCATTTATACTCACTCTATGCCTTCTATCTTTGAGCCAATTTCTAATCCACAAGTGAACGTTTCCTGTAATCTCATGACAACCTAACTTAGTTTAGAGCCTCTGATGGGGGACCTTGTCAGAGGCTTTTTGGAAAACCAAATATACTGTGTCAGCTAGATCACTACCTGCTTTATTGACACTCTCAACTCTAGTAGGTTAGTGAGGCACAATTTCTCCTTGACAAAACCATGTTAATTCCTCCCCAGGAAGTCATAGTCATCCATGTGCTAAAAAAATCGTTTTTGGTATTATTTCTACCAATTTTCTAGGAACAGAAGTTAGGGTCGTAGTTCCCTGCATCTACTTTAGAGCCTTTTTTAAATATGGGAGTCACATTGGTACCAAGGCTGTTTTTAGTGAGAGGTTGCATATTAGTTAGGAGTTCAGCAGTTTCCAATCTGAACTCCTCCTGCACCCTAAGGTGAATGCCATCAGGTCCTTGTGATTTGCTGCCATTTAGTTTATCTGTTTCCTCTGAGACCTTATCTATGACACCTCAGCTGGGGTCAGCTCCAGTGACTTGTCCCTAGAGAGGAATGGATCTAGTGAAGGAATTTCCCTAACATTTTCCACAGTGAAGACAGATGCAGAGAATACATTCAGTTTCTTAGCAATGGCCCTGTTATCTTTTAATGCCGCTTTACAACTGATCATCTAAAGGCAGCACTGACTGACAGGTCTTTGCCTTCTAGCATACTTAAAGACGATTTTATCTCTACCTTTTGTGTCTCTTGCAAGTTTTTCCTCAAATTGTCTCTTAGGTTGCCTTATTACAGTTTTACATTTGATTTGCCATTGTTTATGTTCTTTTTTATTTTCCTCATTAGGATTTGACTTCCACTTTTTGAAAGAAGCCTTTTTTCTGCTTACTGCCTTTGCAGTTCTGCCATTAAACCATGCTGCCTTTTTGTCTGCCTTTTTTTTTGTTTTGCAGTATGCATTTGCTCTAGTGCCTCCAGTATGGCGTTCCTGAACAGTTCCCATGCTGTCTACATGTTCCTTACCTCTAAGGACCGTTTAAAAATTTTACCTAACTAGCTTCCTCATTTTAGTGTAGTCTCTTTTTGAAGTTATGGGCTACTGTGGTAGATTTTCTTGTCTCCCTTCCTACCTGGATGGCAAACTCAATTGCATTTTGGTCAGTATTGCCAAGCAACTCAGTAACACTTTCCTTTTGCACCAAATCCTGAGTACTATGTAGAACTAGGTCAAGAATGGCCTTTCCTCTTGTAGGTTCCAGGACTAAGTGTTGCAGGAAGTAGCCTTTTATAACATCCAAGACATTTGGTTTCTGTATCCTGGCCTGAAGTTAGATAAACCCAGTCTATTTGTTTCATAGATTTCATAGCCATTAGGGCTGGAAGGGACCTCGGAAGATCATAGAGTCCAGCCCCCTGCCCAAGGGGCAGGAAGTCAGCTGGGGTCACAGGATCCCAGCAAGATAAGCATCCAAATTTCACTTGAAGGCATTCAGTGTAGGTACTTGAACCACCTCTGGCAGGCTATTCCAGACCTTGGGGGCTCAGACAGTAAAGAAATTTTTCCTTATGTCCAGCCTGAAACAGTCTTGCAGTAGTTTATAACTGTTTGACCTTGTCATCCCTTGGTGTTTCTGTCCTATCCATAATGTTCACAACCTTTGCTGTGTCCAGTTCTAGCCCCAAGGCTTGTATTTCCTAAATGCAAAGTGTGAGGGTGTGGACACAGGAACAGCACGAGACACCAACTAAAAGGAAGTGAGTGGTTGTATGGCACTGCCTTTCTCCATTGGGTAATAGAGCCAACGTTGGTGTTAGGCCAGGGTCATGCCATTTCATCCCTTACATTCAATTTGACGGCTAACTCATAATGGTATAGTGCATCACCCCAGCGGACTGTGACTTATCAGTTGCAATATAGCCTTTGTATTGGGCTGTCAGCCACTCTCTCTGATCCAGCTTCAGTAGTTTGTGGTGTGCTTTAGCTCTGAAACTTGCTTTGTTTTATGGCCCAAAACTTATACTCATGTGTTTTTTCTTCAGACTTGTATAAGTAAATCTTTAAAAGGACTGATACTAGGATGGTGTACGTATTAAGCTGGTGGTTTGGGGAGGTTGATATTTAGTTTTTATTTGTGATGTATATGTTCTTAAGGGCTTTAATATTTCTGAACTCTAAAATCAATCACTGCCACTATTATATAAAAGGCAGGGGTGGCCAGAGTTACCCACCCTGGGAGCCACATCTGATCCTCCACCAAAGGTCAAGGGTGGGGGGAACGCTGAACGAGCGTCGAGCCACTCTAGCTTTTCCCCGTGGGGAGCATGCTAATTTCCAGAGAGAAATTCCAATTTAGCCAATTTCCAGAGAGCCACAAGTACCCTTCCAGCAAGCTGTGGTTTGGCCACTGTGGTTTTAAAGTATCTTCTAAAATACCCCTTACAGGAGCCTATAAGGAGTATTATAAGGAATGTAATCATCCATTTGTCACTATCATTACTAGATGGTACAAAGAGAGAGTGGGTTGAAATTAAATCCTCAGTGGAATTATAGACTCTGAGTCCAGGATGGCCGCTACCTTTCAGGAGTGATTATTATTTTGTATTACAGTAGGAATTATGGACCCATTAAGCATACTGATAGATGTCTGTAAATAAAAAATTATGAAGGCACTTGAAGAGCTGTATAAAACTGACCTGAACTTTTATTGGGTGACATTAATTTTGATCTTTTAAAAGTTGTTTTAGTTTGGATAATGTCACTGTATTAATAAATTATGGTTTTCTGTACCGTTTTGCAGGTGGATTCACCAATGAACTTGAAACAGCCTCATGATTTAGTGATGCTCATGAGACAAGAAACTACAGTTAACTACCTCAAAGATCTGGAGGTAATGTGTACAATGTTGTGAGGAGAAATTAATTTCTATATGTGCAGTATGTTGATTAAACTACCCATGTAAATGAGTATAGAGTCAAGAATGATTCTGTCCAGTACTGCAGTGCACTTTCAGTGGAAGAATAAGGAATTCTTCCAGAGTTTAGATTGTTTGTACCTGAAATTTGACCTTTCACAGGGGCGGGCAATTATTTCGGGCAGAGGGCCGCTTACCCAGTTTTGGCAGGCTGTTGAGGGCCACATGGGTAGCCCTGCCCCTTGACAGGTGCCCCACCCCCTGGTCACCATCTTGGGACCAATGTCCCAGGGCCAGCACCAGTGGAGCCCAAAGCGGGGCACAGGCTGGCAGGGGTCTGTGGACCCAGGCTGAGCTGCACCAGCAGGGAGAGGGGTGAAGCTGGCCCAGCTCCATAGAGCCCCTGCCAGCTGG